TTTTAAGTCTTTAGCTGTTAGTAATCACACTTGTCGAACAATTTGAGCTAGATAACCAAGTTACTCACCCCTATGTACAATATTGGTCTTCGCCTTTCTAGATTTGCATTGGGACATAATCGTGTTCTTACTAGCAACATCATACCAAACATCATAACGAGCGCCACGTCTTTGTCTTTAAGTTGTATGATGGAGAAGTCTTCGGATGGTAGTTACGTTGCATTGCCTTAGGCCTACTCTCAAAAACAGTTAAATAGGATAGAGAATCATCGGTCTGTTCACAGAAACTAGTTAAATAAAAAAAAATTAAATATGACAGAGAATCATGCTGGATAAAGATGTTTACCAAAATCAACAATCAAGTTGGGTGGTAAAAATTCGAATCACCTCCTGATTTTGGAAAATATAATAAACATAAGTTGATTTGTATAGATTATCACTACAATCATAAAACAAACAAAAATGTGTTACAATATTGCAATCATTATCACTATCGTCTACTGCTCACACCCATAATAGTGATATACCAATATGGACCAATCAAAACAAAATCTTTGGTATAATCTTTTCCCTTGAAAATTTGGAACTAGACCACTCAATTGAAATATGACTTTATGGGCCTTAATTAAGACATTGCTAATTATTTGCCATTCAATTGAACTATGGACCTTAATTAAGACATCACTATTCTATTCCATGTCATAGGTCCATCATCTTGGCCCAACCCAAGTAGGCAACGTGGGCTCCTAACCGTAACTATAGTTATCGCCAAGCAAGCATGAGATGGTCATATGACAAGAAGCTGTAAAACACATCTTAAATGCTAATATAAAATAGGGAGCCTTACTAAAACAACATTGGAAATTGATTTTTAACCAAAATGATGCTCATCTTTGAATATTACTTAAACAATTTTGAAAGATTTATTATACCCGTTTTAGCGTTATTTCTTTTGAAGACAAAAATACGTATTTACGAAACTGTCATTAATGAGGCAGCAAAATTTTCCAGTCAAAAGCGAATAAGTCTACCGTTCATGTGATAGTAGATTTATTTGCGATTGGTAGATTTATTAAGTGGTTGGTAGACTTATTGATGGTTCGCAATCATAGACTTATTTATAGTAGTGGTAGATTTATAATATGTGGTAGACTTATTT